TTGCATTTTAGAAATGCATTCATTTATGTTTGTGTAAGCCATGTCTGAGTTTACTTTAAGAACTTCCACGTTATGCTTGAGCTCCTGCAGCTCCTTCATTCTTTCCTGAATGATGCGTTGGACTTCAGACTGGGTGACCACCAGGACTTTCTGATAGAAGAACAAAGAAAAGTAGAAAGGTTTTTGTAAATCATTCACCCATGAGAACAAGACACACTGTACTTTGGATGCAGCTTCTGAGACTCAAAGTCACTGCATTACAAAAATGACAAGGTCAATGTATTGACTCAGATTTGAGGCTTCAGACTCACTTGCTTCTCCGTGCGCTCTTCTTCTGCAGAGCTAATGTTGTGGCCACGGTGCTCTCTGACAGTACACAGCACACAGATACACATCTGGTCAGAGCGACAGAACAGCTCCAGGCCTTTCTCATGCTGGGGGCAGATCTTCCTGTCCAGGTGGCCCGTCTCATCCACCAGCTTGTGCCTCTTGAATGTAGACGACTCGTAATGAGGCTTGACATGTGTTTCGCAGTAGTAGGCCAAGCACATGAGACAGGACTTGACAGCCTTGTTGCGACGGCCAACGCAGAAATCGCAGAAGGATTCCCGGTGCATGTAGGGGAACGGAGTGAGCTCAGGCAGCTGGCGCCGTGGCTCATGGTTTATATCAGGCAGGTTATGTTTCAGCACAGGCCGCGGCGTGAAGACTGCATGGCACTCTGGGCACCTGTATACACCCATGTGGTCAAATTGCTCCCAGTAGATCTTGATGCACTCCAGGCAAAAGGTGTCACCACAGGGGATGGTGACCGGGTCTTTTAATGTGTCTTCACACAGGGGGCAGTAGGCCTCTGTTGGTAAAGGGAAACCAGACTCAGCCATGACAATGATGATGAGACAAATATAAGAAATATTCTGAATTGGAATAGTTTCCAGTTAATGGGTCATTTCTGAATCCACAAACTGTCTGAGTGCACCAAGTAATGGTAAGACATTCTGCTGGTCAATATGTGGTCCAGAGAGTCCAACCAGAGCATATAATGCTGTTTTCTGCTGACATTTAAAGGGGAGGGTTTGTTTCTACTACAAGCAGACAGGTCATGTCTTCCCACAGAACCCTTTTTCCAGCATCTGAGTGAAAGTACTGATGTCTGCAAACATGACAAACTCTGCTGATGAAGCAGGAATTTCAGGTAAACTCACACAGTAATGTTGCATTGTCAGCAAAATGAACAGCTAATGTCAACTAACAACATGAATGAATGAATATATCATTATTAAAGAAGTATAAACATGTTCCATCAGTGACATTCTAGTTTAACTGTGAATGAGTTTCACATGACACAGCCATCTGTTGTTTTTTATTTTACATGCACTTTCCTCTAAACCAACATTTATCACATGTGGTACACATGTTCCCTCCCACCCTTTAACTTTCTATTTTCCTGAACAGTGTGTTTCTTGTTGGCGCATGATGTCAAAACAGCTTATTCTGTGTATCCTGTTAACAAAGTACAGAGCATCGATATGTGGGTTCCCACCTGTAAAACTTGGAAAACACTGTAAAGTAAAAGCACAGCAGCACCACATGACAATGCTGATTATGGCACCTTTAAACCTGGTAATGTTAAACACTGGGAAATGGGTTTGTTAGGATTTCTTATGAATCCTAAAGAGACGTGCAGTCTATTCACTGTACAACAACTAAATTTTAATTATTATTTTCAAATATGTCTATTGTAGACATTTTCATTCAAATGAAACTCAGATTATATCCATGTATAAATTGATCGTATGTGAGCAAAAATGTCTGAATTGCAATATAATGACACAATTAAAAAAATTTAATTGCTTTGGAAATAGTCATTAACTGAATTCATCAATATATTTACAGTCTGATCCTTGTGTGAACTGGCTGAAAGCCAGTTATTTGGCACAGGCAAATGGGGTGCTGGTGAAACAAAGAAAGGTTGAGTCAGGATAAAGTTAGATATTAATATCTGCAGTACTACTGAATGCTTTGCTTCATATAGAGAAGATTTTCCTCACCTCCATAATAGTCATTTCCCCAGAAGGTCCAAAAATAGTTTTAATACTCAAATTGTAAAATTTTCAAACCCTCTCAGAAATAATGGCCT